TATAATATGAATGATTATTCTAATATATGAATTAACTATTTTTATTTTATTAAAAAATAATCATTAAATAAAAAATATTGATTATATTATAATATGAATTATCATTACAATTTTCAAACGTTATTATAAAGTCAAATTAAATTATTGATTTGAAATTTTAAATTAAATCATAATTAATCAGATTAGATCAGATCAGATCAGATTAGATCAGATCAGATCAGATCCAATCAGATTAGATGAGATCAGATCAGATCCAATCAGATCAGATCAGATCCAATCAGATCAGATCTGATCAGATCAGACCAGATCAGATCAGAACTTATTAGAATCAGATCAGATCAGAAAAAATAAGTTGAACGGAACGGAGCCTAAGCTGACCATGAGTAAATACCATATTGCTAAAATTAATACAGCAAAAAAAATGTTTGACCTTTCCTTTTGTTAATAGTCATAGCAAAACATAAGATTATTAAGAATTATCTTCTTTTAAACTTTAGGAATAGTCTTGAATCAGATAATATTAAATTCATTCCGGGTATGTAAACTTTTTTTCTGACTCGGTTTCCCTAAACCACAATTGCATTAATTATCTTTGCATGAAGAATCACAACTTAAGTATTCCTTTTCACCTCCAATATTCATAGGGTTGTAAAATGAACAAATTGAATCGAATATTATGAAATTTTATCCGTATTTGAAATATAATACCATTATTCATGTTCATATTCGTTTTTTATTCAAATAATTATTACAATTCAAATTCCATTTGATACTAAATTCAAATATTCTTGTCATATTCATATTCTATTATAAAATTCAAATTTTGAGTTCTTTTTACGATTTATAACTTTAAAAGTTATTACCCCAGAAATTAATAATATACATTGAAATGGCATGTCCACAACAACAAACTTTTTCGATCCCACAAGAGTAGCATGGGGGTGTGTGTACGATAACATTTCCCCTACTGGAAAGTAGATAAGTAAAAATGTGCATGGGTGAAATGATCAATTCCATATCTATATCGGGCCGCAAAAATAAGTTATATTCAATTCCTATTGCAACAAAAATAACACATCTATATCTAACTAGTGGCGGATCCAAAAATTTAGGTAAATGGGGGCATGATTGGTCGAGGGTCCCGGGACAGCGCCCCCAATTTTTTTAATTTGACTATGTGAAACTAGAAAAAAATATCAAATTTATTGGTATAGCCGCCTGTACCTATCTCTCGGTACAACCGACTATGATTCGAAGGAGGCGCGGATCGCAAGGAGTAGAGATCGACGAAGGTCGCGAGGAGCAGCGAACCCCAGATCAGCGAAGGTGAAGGCGATGGTGAAGATGACGGTGGCAAAGGTGGAGGCGATGGTGGCAGAGGTGAAGGTGATGGCGGCAGCTTTATAGATCTGAGAAGTCATTGATATCAAAACCCTAGGTCAGCACTTCAGTGATTCAGACAAGAGGATGAAGAAGAATTGTAAATTTATTCTGATTTCAGACTCCTAGCAAAGGTGGAACCAATGGTAATTTAGTTGAGAATGAACACTGCTTTTTCTTAAAATGAGTACTACTTTGTTTTAGAATGAACACTGCGTTATTCGTAAATGAATATTATAATTGTGATGGACAAGAACTCCACCAAATGATCCGACTAAATGGGCGAATCACAAGAATATTATTAATCAAAGAACTCGATAATTACAGAGTTTTACGCTAGGTTTTTGCTTGAGGATCCATGTGAGGATCACTTCTATTTATACTTAACCCTTTACAAAATTAAGTCGATTTTTAATTATAGAAGCTAATTCCGTGAATCACGCGACCCGATTTTTGAGGCTTCTTCTAGCAAGCGTATCGCCAATTGGTCCTTGATCCGGGTTGATTCGAAACCAATCCCTTGGACCGGCATGTACTCTTCGGATTCCGATTCCTTGCCCCCGTCTTCTAGCCCCACTCCGATTGACCAGCCGGTTAACTCTGGACAGGCTCAGGGTCCCTTTAGTCCGCCACGACCGTCATCGGCGGCTGCACCTAGTAGGGGACGCCGGCGATTAAGAAAAAAGTTCTCCCCCCAAAGCCCAAGCTATTGGGCCCTAGGGTTGAACTTGAGGAGAACATCATGGCCCTATGCCATTGTCAAATCTCAGATCAGGGCTTCACCGACGTCACTAACATGGTTGGGCCCCCATTCAGGTCCGGCGACCTAGTAAGAGTGAGACTGCCTTGGCACCCGAAGGGGTTCTTCATTGTACACCTCACTTCCTTGAAGAGGGGTCTGTGATTCCCATTACACCCTCTGCTTGTGAAGTTCTTGAATGATGTGGACCTACTCCTGTGCCAACAAGTCCATAATTCCCATGGCTACACAGTGGGTTACTTGATCAAGTGTCAAGAAGCGGGACTGACCCTGAATCTAGACCATTTCTTGTTCACCTTCAAACTTGCCAAGGGGCACACGGGTTGGGCCTCCTATGCTTGGCTCTCCTAATGGATGAGCAAACTCTTTGCTAGCGAGCAAACTCCCATTACCGGCTCTAGACATCCTTCCGCCGCGTCAAGCCACCACCGAAAACTACTAAGATCTTGACTGACACAAAAAGCCACCGCCGCGTCAAGCTAATGGGCGCGTCGACCAGCAGTAGAACTCCCAACATTTACGAAAATTTTATAGATAAAGGGCATTGTAATATGTACCATGTCAAGAAATAAAAGTTGATCTTTTTCTAAAAAAACTACTCGCAAGACCGGTCGGGAAAAGTTACAGACCTATCCGCCCGGTTAGTGTTCAATCGAATAGAGCATTTAAAAAAAGAACAAGCTGGCTTGGTCAAACTGATAAACCGTATCGACACGGTCTCGAATTGCGCGACCAAAAAAGGTGAGAATCCTGGCTTGGTCAAGTTAAACGAGAAAAATAACATGGCTTATTTTCTACTCGGGTAGAAAGCCAAATGGATCAGTCGGGCCAAGTCCATCTGTTCTCAGGTGGGACACCATACTTTTCGAGAAAAGATGGTAAGACATTCCCACTCGGGTCAAAACCACCTAGAAAAAGATTGGTTGGGTCCATTTTTTCCTGGGCCAAACACTTTTCTTTTTCAAACTCTCTTAACTAACGATCGGGTCAAAAATAAAGGAAGAAAGTACAAAAAGGGAATAAGTACTCGGCGACATACATGAAGTTGGAAAAATAAAAATAAACTCAACATACAACTTGGAAAATAAAATTTCATTCAGATGCATAAGAAGTTCTACAAAGCATTACAGCCCGACAACAGCTACAAAGTTTTACTAAAAAATCTTTTACAAACTAGATCCCCTCGAAGGGGAAGACAGGCTCTTCGTCATGGAGCTCAGGGAGAGAGAAGACATTGGGATCAAAATCCTGCACCCGGCTGCTCTGGATCCTGTACAGCCCGCGGCGCTCCTGGTACTTACCGGTCTCAAACTCGAAGGTCCTAATGTCATCAATCAGTTTCTAGGACACTTCTTGTTTGTAAAGGCCTTAGAAGAACTGGATGCCGATCTCCTGGTCAGGATGTGCCTAAGCAGCAAACTTCTCCGGTTCTTGCGCAGCCCAAGCAGCGGCGTGAACAGCCCGGTCGGAGCGCTCCTTCTCTAGCTCAGCCCTTAGCTGGGCAACCTCCTCTTCCAGCTGGCCGTCCGCTCGGCCTTCTCCTCTAACTCGGAGATCTTTTGCTGAGCCTGCTCGTCCGACCCCTTGGCGGATTTGAGCAAGCCCCCGTGCTTGGCGAAGAGACCCTAGTAGGCTTCTGCTTGTTCAACTGGCTTCTCCTTCATCTTTTCAGCCGCCAGTCGAGCTGCCTCTACATCTTTCGGGGAAGTGACCATCATGGCCTCCATCCGGAGTGTCTCGTCCATCTTGAACTTGACTAGCTGGGTGCCCACTCCTTCCCAATCTGGCCGACCTGCTTTAAGTAGAAGACAAATTTTCAGATTAGTTCGAGAAAAAAAATTGGGAAGAAATTAAAGACGGAATTGATGCTTACCTCACTCAGGTCAGTGCAAAAGGGGTCGAACAACTCAGCATTCAACCGGGACATCTGGACCATGTCCCGGAGCTGGCCCTTGCCCTTACTAGCGTCGGAGGACAGGGAAGAAGGACTGGCTTCTTTCGTTCTTCGCCTCTTCCTTTACAGACCCTCGTATGCAAAAACCTCCTGACCGGCCACCTCCGATTTCTTGGAGCCCGGACCGGCCTCGGAGGCATGGCCCCCTCAGGGAGGATCCCCTCGAACTCCAAGGTCTCCTAATTGGCAAAGAGATCCCCGGAGTGGAGGGGCACAGAAGTCCCTTGATGAGATTGGGCAGACTGCTCAGCGGCAGGTTGAGTTTGCCCAGCCGAGGTCCCCACGACCGTAGGGATAAGGAACTTGGAGTGGAACTTCACCACTGCACAAAAACAAAACAACACGGTTAGTAAAAATGGAGAAGACTCAAACCGGGTAAATTACATACTCCCTCCATCCATGTAAGATCTTCCCATTACGCGTTACGAAGCTTGACCGACTTTATTTTCAATTCAATTTAATTCATTGTAGGAGTAAAATTTTTAAATAAAATTTATATAGTAATAAACTACATGAAAAGTTCTACAAAACTAGAGGTGACAAGACTATATTATTTTATGAAATGACTAGTAAAAATGAGCAAACAAAGTGATTAAAGTTTAACCTTGTGAATAGTGTCTGGGAAGATCTATGGTGGACAGAGGGAGTATAAGAAAAGAAAAGGGAAGGGACCTTTTTCCTTTTTCCCTAGCGAGGGGGTTGCCGGCTGAGAGGCTAGGGACGCGGCCGAGGGGGATCGCCTATGGGATCTCGTCGCCCCTGATGATTACGACCTCGGGATCTGTATCGCCCCGAAATACACCCTAGAGTTTTATAACAAATTTTTAATAAATCGTAATTCTAATTTTTGTTTAAATTAAATAAACGTCGAAACGAAAATATGTATAAGTTGTTTTGTGTTCCATTATATATAACTTTAATGTGCAGTTTTCCAAATAAAGCAAAGCGGAGTAGCTGACTCCGTTTAGCATGCATTATTCACCATAAACGGAGTAGGCAAATCCGTTCCATTTAATTAATCAGGAAAACAGAGTAGCCAACTCCGTTCCAATTATTTAATTAGGAAAAAGGAGTAGCCAACTCCGTACCCCCTTTTTTTTAGTTTTTTTTAAAATCATTCCCCCCCTTTTTTTAATTTTTTTTAAAATCATTTTTTTTCTTTATTTCTTATATTTGAAAAACAAAAAAAATTATAAAAATCAACAAATTATTTACATATAATGAAACAAACAATATACTAACAATAAAATTCATACATAAAATAATTATTTATTGACTTTAAATAATGTGTCATACACCGAAATTAAAATAAGAACTAAATCACAACAAATTATTGATAGAGTACATAAAATTTATCCATAAAATAAGGTTACAAAACACATGCCATAACTAATTTATTTTTGTGAAAATCATAAAACATAAACTTGGACATATTTGAAATCCATGATATAGCTATTGTTCATTGCGACGTCACCGTGGTCGGTAGTCCATGTTATTCGGGTAGCGAGTTCTTGTAGGTCGACCGGTTTGTGTCCTCGCTCATGCAGTTGGTCTCACTATCTCGTATCCTAGAGTAGGCCAGTCGGCCTCATCGGGAAGCGGCATTCGGATGCCCAAATAAGCGTTGATGTAGGACTGGATTGAAAAAACATTAGGAATCAAATGATCTACAGTGACACTACACTGACGACATACTGCGTGAACATGAATGCATGGAATGTGATATATTACCCATTCTCCACAGGTACATGTTTGTGCATTTAAATTCACCGCAAATGTCTCGCGGTGACCATTGTTGAAGGACCCATCCACAACCACAGAGTATATCCCATGTTGTGTGTGGTGCTGCACAACACGATAATAAAGCCTATTTTCTTCATTGTTCTTGATATTTTTTTTCCACACATTCATAGGAAATTATACCCAAATTGTTGCCACAAATATCCATTGGTTTGCCTATCAGCAAAAAGCTTGACCAATTTGTCATATGTGAACCTCACAATGGCAAAGACGGGTAAACAACGACATCCCTTAAGGACATTATTGAAGCTTTCTGATGAATTTGTTGTCGTTATACCATTGCGTGAGCCACCTTCATCATGGGACAATGCCCACATGTGTTTTGGAATAGCCATAAGCCAGTTGTAAGCTTCTTGATTTTTTGACGCTATCTGGAGAAGCGTCTACTCAAACTCACTTCTGCTAGGGGTCTCACCAGGTTTGTACATCATATTCCTCAGTTTCTTACTTCGAAACTTGTTATGGAAATTGCTTCGCAGGTGGCGGTGACAAAATCTTTGAGTGACTTGACCTCCCTGCAATTCTGGAACATTATTGAATGCGTGATCAATACCACCGTGCATATTAGATATTATGCATATATGGCGGTGTGGAGGCACGACATGTCGCATGATATTTGTCATGAACCACTTCCAGCTTGCACCATCCTCAGCATCCACAATGGAAAAAGCCAAGGGAAAAATGTCACCATTTCCCGTCATTGCCACGACAATTAATAAAGTTCCCTTATACTTTCCATATAAGTGAGTCCCGTCCACTGAAACAACTGGAAGACAATAGTGAAAGCCATCAATGGATGCCTTGAAGGTCTAGAAAACATACTTGAACTGAAATGCATTCGGTGCGTTCGTAGGTTGGGTTTGCAAATCCACAACTGTCCCATGGTTTGATCCCATAATTGCACCGAGCAAAGGAGCCAGCTTGTTGTATGAGTCCTCCCAACTACCGTACAATCGCTGAATGGCCAATGACTTTGCACACCACGCCTTCTTATAGGAGACAGATACTTGGAACAACTCATAAACATCCCTCATTATGAGTTTGACTTTATAATCGGCATCTTCTTCAATTTTTGGACCAATCGGGCCACTTATGAGCTCATTGGTTAACAATTTGTCGTCTTTAGCTCGCGTGTAATCTAGTCTACACTGGTGGGTGTGACTATTATTGTAGGGTAGGTGGGGTGACTATTATTTTAGTTAGGTGGGTGTGAGTAAATGGGTAGGTGCGAGGTGGTGGTGTAGAATTTTGTGAACTGAATTTGATGGTTTCATTGATACAATTAGTAGTATATACATACAAGGTACAAGCCCAATAGACGTGGCCCAACGTAAAGTACTAATCATACAAATAATATATATTATATACAATACACGGTAACACTCCCCCTCAAGTTGGAGCATGGAGATCAAAAATGCCCAACTTGGATAATAGAGAATGAAAAAGAGGACCAGGGAGAGCCTTCGTGAAGATGTCGGCAATCTGCAACCGTGTAGGGACATAAGCAGTGATAATATGAGCACGCTGGAGACATTCACGTACAATATGACAATCAATATCAATATGCTTAGAGCGCTCATGGAAGACCGGATTAGCCGCGATAAAAAGTGCAGATTTGTTGTCACAATATAGGTGCGGAGTCGCTACACACGGGACACTGAGTGCGGCAAGTAGGCCGCGGTGCCACCAGATTTCCAAGCATGCATTGGCCATGGCCCGATACTCAGCCTCTGCGGAGGATCGAGAGACTGTAGTTTGCTTTTTAGTGCGCTAAGAAATAGGAGAACCATCAAGAAAAACGAAGTAACCTGTGATAGAGTGGCGTGTGATAGGACAACTCGCCCAGTCAGAATCAGAAAACGCTTCAAAGTCAGATCACTGTCACGATGGAGTAAAATACCTTGGCCAGAGTGCCCCTTAAGATATCAGAAAACACGGAGTGCAGCGTTCCAATGATTCAACTGTGGAGCCTGCATAAACTGAGATAAAGTATGAACAACATAACAAATGTCGGGGCGAGTAATAGTCAAGTAAAAAAGACGCCCAACGAGACGACGGTATTTAGCAAGATCCCTACGCTCAGCACTGGTGGACCTGGCGAGATGGTGAGTGGTCGGCAGCGGGGTGTCCGCAGGTTTGCATCCAAAGAAATTGTGTTCCTGAATAATATCCAAAGTGTACTTTCGCTGGTTAAGAACCATACCAGTCGAGGAGCGAGCACACTCGATTCCCAAAAAATAAGAGATGGGACCAAGATCCTTGAGTCGAAAACACTCATCCAAATACCGCTTGAAAGAAGAGCATAATGAGGGATTGTTACCGGCGACAAGAATATCATCCACATAAACCAGAACAACAAGCATATCAGATCCATGACTAAGGACAAAGAGGGTGTGATTGGCGTGGGCTTGGCAGAACCCATAGCGTCGAAGTGCTAACCGAAGCTTAGCAAACCAATTTCAGGGAGATTGACGCAACCCGTACAAAGATTTACGCAACCTGCAAACTTTACCAGGAAACAAGTAAGAGTAACCAGGTGGGAGCTTCATGTAAATTTCATCCTTAAGATCACCATGTAAAAATGCATTGTTAACATCTAACTGATCAACTTGCCAACCTCGGGCAACAGCAACAGATAAAAGTACCCGAACTGTGGCTAACTTTGCCACGGGAGCAAAAGTATCAGTAAAATCAACACCCAACTCCTGATGATTTCCCAAGACCACCAAACGGGCTTTATCCCGCTCCTTGGTACCGCCACACCTGTACTTGGTATGATAGACCCATTGACACCCAAGGGCCCGCCGATTAGGGGGAAGATCCGTGATTTCCCAGGTATGATTCCGTTCCAAAGCTGTAAATTCTTGCGCCATTGCCTCTCTCCAAGAAGCAAACTTGACAGCCTCGCGATATGATTTAGGAACCGGGGAAGCATCAATCGCACCAAGAAAACCTTTTTACCTGTCATGTAACTTTTTATAATGAACATAGTTAGTAATAGGGAACCAGTACCTGATGAGACTGAACGGGAAGAGGACAAAAGCGGAGTACCATCTGTAGCGGAATGAAGGACATAGTCGTGGAGACGGGGTGGGAGGCGACGGGTGCGTGGGGGCAAGGGGGCTGGGGATTCGGGTGATGAAGAAATATCCCCCTGTGTGGGCGCTGGGGAAGAGGACAGAGATGGGGTAGGTGAGGGGGACGGTGACGAGGGCTGGGATGTGGACAGTGGCGGGAGGGGCTGTTCGGTGGGTGTGTTGCCGGAAACAGCAGCCGGTTGGGGCGGAATTTGGGCAGTGGGGAAGTCCTCATCGGCGGGATTTAGAAGAGGTTAGGGTGAGGATGACAAGGACGGAAGAGAGAACGGAAACTTAGATTCATTAAAGACCACATCCTGAGTATGAAAAAATTGGTGAGTTTCGAGATTATAAACCCTCCACCCTTTAGTACCGGATAGGTACCCGATGAACATGCATTTGACACTACGGGGAGAAAATTTTTTTGTGGGTTTAGGATTTTGTCGAACATAACACAGGCAACCAAAGACTCGGAGATGACTCAAAGTTTTGGGTTTGGAAGATAATACCTCAAGAGGAGATTTCCCACCAAGGAGCTTTGTAGGTGTCCGATTGATTAAATAAACTGCGATTTTCACACATTCCCCCCCAAAATTCAACAGGAAGAGACGCTTGAAACATGAGAGAACGAGCGAAATTGAGTATATGGCAATGCTTACGTTCTGCCCAACCATTTTTTTGTGGGGTACCAACACACGATGTTTGTATTAAAACGCCCATTGAATCATAAAATTGACGCAGGGGTGTGTTGAGAAATTCAGTGCCATTATCTGAGCGAACGACTTTAATGATTTTGGATAATTGAGTCTGTATCATGGCAAAGAAACGTTTAAGACATATTGTAACTTCGCTTTTGGAGCGAATAAGGTACACCCAAACAGCACGAGAAAAATCATCAACTATAGTGAGAAAGTAATGAGCACCAGAAGAGATACAAGGGGAATAAGGGCCCCACAAATCACAATGAATTAAATCAAACACAGCTTCAGCTTTATTATGACTAGTAGGAAAAGAAGAACGAGTTTGCTTTGACATAAAACAAATTTCACAAGTTTGAAGTTTCTGGATAACAGAACCAGATTTATTGGAACTAAGTAAGGAAATTATCTTAGGAGAAGGATGACCCAAACGTTGATGAAGAAGTATAGGATCCACATTAGCTGCAGTAGCCAACGCAGAAGAGGAAGCCAAGATGTATACACCGTTTCGTTTTTCGCCCTGTCCAGTCACCATCTTCGACGAACAGTCCTGTATCACACAACCAGAATCATGAAAAGTTACATAACAGGGGGTGTCCCGAATCAAACACCCGACAGAAATTAAATGACAATGCAATGTGGGAACAAAATAGCACATTATGGAGAACCAAAGTAGAAGTCACTCGGACACTTCCCTTTTTAGTGGCTGAAATCTGGGAGCCATTTGGAAGACAAATAGGGTGACATAAAATATACTCAACATTAAACAAGTGAGATAACGTTCCCGTCATATGATGAGAAGCACCGCTATCGACAATCCAATCACAAGAAGAGAAAATACCCGAATAGGTGTGGGATGCCGAGGCTTCTAGCATGGACATAAGGCGGCTCATTTGATCACTCAACGAAGAACCCATCTCACCGGAAGCCACATGGATAGCCGCTTGGGAGCCACTGCCGGCTGGGGCTGTGCCGCTGGGTTGTTGCCCTCGGCCAGGAGCAGCTGCCGGAGTGCCTAATATGCCGCGGCCACCATGGTTGACGGCAGGTCCTCCCCCACGGCCTCCGCGACCGCCACGATGACTAACGGAGGTACCACGACCGCTAGAGGTTTTAGTGAAGTGGGAGGGGAAACCAACGAGCTCAAAACATGTTTCAACGGTGTGATTAGTGCGACCACAATGAGAGCACATAAATTTTCCAGAAGGAGGGGGGCGAGCGGACCAGGCAGCAAAGCCGACAGAATCAGTTCGATCATCTCGAGTACGTACAATGTGACGGTGACGTTCTTCTTGAGAAATTAATGAGTAAGCACGATCAATGTCCGGTATAGGTTCAATTCGGTGGCCATAATTTGCGACCAAATGGAGCCAAATTGTTCATCATCAAGCCCAAGAAGAAAGTCAATCGTTTTATCACGCTCGACCTGAGCACGGGTAATACCCGCGGCCTCGCACTTACAACCGTTAGTGGGGTCCTTAGAACCATGCAACTGATTCCATAGAGTAATAAACTGATTATAATAAGAGAGCACACTCTAACCCTTCTGTAGGAGAGAATTCAACTCGGATTTTAACTGATATATACGAGGTCCATTAGAACAACTGTAGCGCTTTTGCAAATCATCCCATAATTCCGAAGCTATGGTGTGAGAGACAATACTTGGTTGGATAGACTCATCAACACTATTGAAAATCCAACTACAAATGATTTGATTATTAGCATACCAAGCGGACAACTCCTGTTCATCGGTAGGTTTAAGCACCCCTACGGATGACAAAAAAGAGCTTTCCCACGACCGCCAAGTGCATTACGTATGGCTTTTTCCCATATATCAAAATTGTCACTTTTCAACAAATATTTAGTGAGAGAATTACTGGAACCTTTGGAGGGATGGAGATAGTAAAGAGAGGACGGATCATGAATCAACCGCGTTCATTTAGGGTTGGACGTGTTATCTCCTGCCATGGTGAGGGGACTGCTTTGGACCGGCGGAAGGACTGGGGAGGGCCGACGAGACTACAGGACGGACGGCGACGGAGAGACAAGGTGACTTGACCACCGGCGATGGAGAGATGGTGAATGCCGGACGAAGAAACGGACGTGAGCCTAGGGGTTTACGTATTTTCCCAGTGAAGGCTCTGATACCAGGTAGAATTTTGTGAACTGAACTTGATGGTTTCATTGATACAATTAGTAGTATATATATACAAGGTACAAGCCCAATAGACGTGGCCCAACGTAAAGTACTAATCATACAAATAATACATATTATATACAATACACGCTAACATGTGGATATTGGTAGTTGGGAGTGACAAGGGAGTTAGGGGAAGTCAGTGTTATTATTCGGAAGGTGGGTGCGACTATTATTGTAGGGTAGGTGGGGGTGACTATTATTTTAGTTAGGTGGGTGTGAGTAAATGGGTAGGTGCGAGGTGGGTGTGACTATTATTGTAGGGTAGGTGCAAGGTGGGTATTATTTCAACATAACACATCGTAAAAAAATAAATTATCAAACCAAATATTTCAACATAAACAAATATCTGAACAAACGATTTAAAACCTCGAAACATTAAGTACCCAGCACAATATATTAAACATAAGAAAACTACTAAAGATAATGGCTACCAGTACCACATTGTGTTCCACGTCGATTACGTCGTGGACGAAGACCCTGATCTCCTTCACCCTCCACTTCTACGCCATCCACTGTCTGATGGATTACCGGCGGTGTAGTAGTGGAGACAAATTGTCCAAACTCATTTGTGAGCTGTCTATCCTGAGTTAAAAAATCGCCCCTAAACACATCTCCATCAAACGTGACTGGTGATACATCGTGCATGCGCCTCGGAGGATGCTCTATGTGGAATCGAGGAGGATGTGAACTGGACGGCTCACCCATGCAAGAAGGTGTGTGAGTGTCGCTCTAAATATAATCTTCATCACTATTTAACATCATCATCATCTTGGGTCATAAGGGGAGATTGAATGGGGATGTGTACATCCTCATCATCGACCTGCAACCTCCGACTACCCCGCCCTCCACGTCTAACCCCGACAGCAGGTGCATCACGCCTTCTATCTGCCCGTCTCCTAATATGTCCTGGATTGTAGGCATGCTGCTCCTTGGGTGATCAAGGATAGATGCATTTCCAAGAGCACGAACACACTCTCTTAACAACTCATGAACTCTCAATACCTCGTGCGAAGGTACAAACCCATCTGGATGCCTACCAGGATCAAGGCGCTGACTGCAATCCCCATACAGTATAACTACATACAACATTATTGATTAGTTTAAAAAAAATATAATTTAGAATTATTTACTTTATGAATACTTACTGCGGTCTGTAGCTCCGGAGAAATGGGTATGTACCCTGGTCCGTGCTAATGGACAGGGTTCCCTATCAGTTGTCGACCCCGAAGGTAGTACCACTGACGATACTCTAGTGTGGCATCCACCATCCCAAACTCCATCTGCACTGTAGCATCATTACGTCCCTCCCACACCTCTAAATACTGTTTCTCATCATCGCCAATTTGCATAACATTTGACTTAATGTGGTGTAGATGACGGTCATAGACAACAACTTGAGGGACGTGTTGCAGGGCACCAAACTGCCTGCAAAAGAGATCGGGATAGTACATCTCCTCTACGTACGCATAGATCAAGGGGATTCTACAAATCCATATTCTGACTCCAGCTGGACAATAGGGCGGTAGGGTCTCAAATTCGGATACAGCATCCAAACAAACTGCATGCATAAACAACTACTAAGATACACATGCAGACTAAAATATATATGTATAACATTATGATATTATGAATACTCACCTCTCCCTTGAGCAATCTGTCAAGCTGGTCCCTGTATGCTCGTATGGAGTGTGTGGTATAATCTGACGATCGATGGTAACACACCCATCTAGAAGTGAAGGATTACGCACAACCATGAATGAAACATACAATATGATTTTATAATATACATAAATAAACTACAAATACCTGACTCCATATGGGACATCTACCAGCTGATCCAATGGTATAACCCCTCCAGGTCTAGTCATAGGCACATGCTCCCAAGCCCAAAGCTGTAAGAAGACTAGACAACCTCCAATCTGTGCTGCACTCGTCGCACTAGCACGACACATACTATGGTACAAGTAACTGAGTACTGCCGAACCAATCGCACGACCTCGCACAATGTTTGCATCACCCATGATAATCTCTTAAAGATACAAACAAACCTTATTTCCCGTCGTGTTGGGAAATAGGCTACCACCAACAACTTAAACATAATGGCTCTAGCATGCTGCAAGTAATCTACATCTAAACTATGATCTGTTAGTTGCTTAGGAACAATGGCAGACATCTTAATCATAGTAGAAGTAATATGGGATGTTTGAGGCCTAAATCCCATCATGTTCTCACAAATCTGAATCCATTGATCTCGGGATCGGCTAGTCATCCTCGCCAATGAATTTCCATATACGGGCAATCCAAAAAAACATCTACATCCTGCAATGTAATTCCAACCTCTCCGAAGGGAAGATGTAATGAATGGGTCTCGAGTCTCCATCTCTTCACTAGATCAATGATCAAAGCCCAGTCCAACTGCAAGCCACCAACTTTCTCAAACCCATAAAATCCGTATTCTCGTAAAAACTCAATCACACGAAGCGGTCTATTAATAATAAGAGTCCTCGTATACAAACTAGTACAAGTCCTGTGACACTTTAATAAACTTTTAGCATATTCTTCATCGGCCCAAACCGCATCACACCTATGGTCTCCCTCTTCAATTACTAAAACATCTCGTAAAATAGATCCAGGATGTACATCCATTTGCTTCAAAGATTACAACATAAGAATATATTTAATTAATAAAAATATAACAAGACAATTATATTAAAAAAATCATGAAGTAACCACTTATACATACAATCTATTTTGTATCAAATTTGTAAGATTAAACTATATATTTGTCAATATTTTCACAAAATTCAAAATTTTGTATAGACCAACTACAACATCATCGAAACAAATATAACAAAAAAAGCACTTATACATACAATCTATGACTAAATATATTTCTTACAAAATCAAATTTATAAAATTAAAATATATAATTTTCAATATTTTCACAAACTTGTACAACAACAATCAAACAAATTTAACAAAAATAAACCTAAGGACGAAACGGAGTACCTGACTCCAGTCGGGTTGGGCGCCATCGATCTCCCCCTCGTCGTACTTCTCTCCCTCGGCGTTTCCTTCTCTCTCGCGGCTCTGTCTTTTCTTTCTGTCTGGCCAAGGAAAACGAGTAGATGGGAGAACGAGTTGATGCAGCTAGATCTGAGATTTTAAGAGGAACGGAGTTACCTACTCCGTCTCTGTATTATTAAATCTGAACGGAGTACGCTACTCTGTGTGGGAAATAAATCCATGCCGAACGGAGTAGCCAACTCCGTTTTTCTTATTATTTCAAAATTAAACGGATCGGAGTAGCGAACTCCGTGTTGCACTGCCAGGAAATAAAACTCTGACTTACACTGCCAGGAATGGTTTTTAATTTTTTTTTACATATATTGGGAGTTTACCCGTCAAATTTACACTCCAATTGAAGATCTCGACGAGATGAGTTCAACGACGTAGTGTGTGTTAAGTTCGGACTTACGTATAAAAAGGTATGCGCAAAATAGATGTTATAGTTAAATACGTAAATATAAAGAATTTTTTACGGAGTAATATAATATAATTTAATTTAATAATAATAATAAAAATGAAATTCTACTCCTAATCCTACCTAACTTAGATTTAGCCCAAATCTCCCCCGGGCTGTATATACATATTATACACAACTTGGATGGAGAGCCGAACGTCACTTCCTGTTCCTCTCTGTTCTTCGCTGTGAATTGACCAGAAGCAACGAGACTAAGGCCTCATTCCGTTCAACTTATCTTTTCTTATTTTTTCTTATTCTTATTAAAATCAGATCAAATCAGACCAGATTAGATCAGATCAGATCGAATCAGATCTGATCAGATCCAATCAGATCAGATCAGGACTTGTTAAAATCAGATCCCATCAAGAATTATTATTATTATTATTATTATTATTATTATTATTATTATTATTATTATTATTATTATTATTATTATTATTATTATTATCATTATTGTTATTGTTATTATTGTTCTTAAAAATTAAAAAGAATAAACTTTAGAAACAGGTTAAATAGAAAACTCAGAAAGCAATCCTTATTTATTAGATGTCGGAAAAATTAGTTTTAAAATACATTGACAATGTCAATATAATTCTAGTTTTAAAATATATTTTTATGGCTACCTGTAATTTGAGTTTCTAATGTTTTGATCTTTTATAAGGATGAGATATTTTAATAAAAATACTATCTCTTATATATATTGATTATCTAAATTTAATTACTTTTTAATGTATATATAAATTAAATATTTATTCTAATGTTTATATGAAGTAATTATTAAAATATTAAATTAATATTCTAATTTCACAAAAAAATAATTATAAAATAAAAAATATTATTACATTATAATATGAATGATTATTCTAATATATGAATTAACAAATTTTATTTTATTAAAAAAGAATCATTAAATAAAAAATATTGATTATATTATAATATGAATTATTATTATAATTTTCAAACGTTATTATAAAGTCAAATCAAATTATTGATTTGAAGTTTAAATCAAATCATAATTAATTAAATCAGTCAGATTAGATCAGATCAGATTCAATCAGATCAGATCAGATCCAATCAGATCAGATCGGATCAATCAGATCAGATTAGATCCAATCAGATCAGATCAGAACTTATTGAAATCAGATCAGATTTGAAAAAATAAGTTGAACGAACGGAGCCAAATGGGAAAGCGAGGTGAGTGATTTATCTCGTTAGAATTGATTCATAGATTAGGATTCGTTGACATATTCTTGTTCAATTGATGTTGGATCGTGATTATGATTGTTTGATTATGTGACTGATTGGGATTTAAATTGAAATTGGATTTGGAACCGGGGAATTGGCCGCTATGTTCTTCGATCTGTGTTTTTGTTCTTTTTCTGTGACCCTTCTACTCCATTCTTCTCTTCTCCTTGTCCTTCTGCCTGTATGATTCTGCTCTCAGTTCCTATCTCCTCTGCTCTATTGCGTACTTCTGTTCTCTGCTTCGTTCTTCGATCTTCCGCTACCCTCTTGCTGCTGATTCACTGAGGGAGGGTAGCCGCTACCGTTCGACTAAGCGGACGCTACTGCAGTTCCGTCAGGAGGGAGGACGTCACCCGCAACGTTATCTCTGTCGCCGTACGGTTTTGCCGCTGCTGTCTTCTTTGCGGTTCCCATTGCCAGAATCCATGGTTACACCGAACAGTAGTGCCACCACCTCTGCATCGTACTCTCTGCCACCTGTGCTAGTATGAGAAATAATAATTGTGTATTATTCTTCTTGAATAACTTTGATTACAAGAGTTACATATATATATATATATATATATATATATATATATATATATATATATATATATATATAAGAAAATGATTACAATGAAGGAATTAAATAAATTAAATACTTCATAATGTCTAGCTAATAATGATGGGGAGTTACATATCTACATGGGGGTTACACACAATATTAGGTAAGAAATAATAACTTAATTATAGGAATTAATTATTTACGAGTTATCCTTTATAGCTAGGGTGGGAATGTGGGATTACTGCCGCTGTGTTCTACTCTTGATGAAGAGATGGGGGATCGCCACTCGTGCCTCGCCGTTGCTGCTCGGGAAGGGGACGCGATGTACAAATCAGAAGCGCCCAAATAGGAATTTAATCACAGTCTATGAAACTTGCCATTTGACCCCCATATTTTCCATTGGTTGAAATTGACTCCTTTATACATGACCTTAGATTTTGACAATGATCCATAAGCCTGCGAATGGATAGTCAAAAATTCGATTACCGCCCGCATTTTAATCCGTTTACAAAGAAAAGATCCGTATTCGTTTTAAACGAATATCATCTGCATCCGATCCGGGATAACCAATTACTAAACGGATGCAGATTTGGTTTTTATGAATCCGATACATTTAAAGTCCGATCCGCATGGACATCCGTTTCAATAGTCCGTTACCGTTTATCCGAATAACCATTTATCCAAATACCAAATTTAAATAAATTTAAAAAAATATATTCTTGCTATGTATTTACCCCAATTGCTAATCCAATAAAGTTGGGCTATTGGCCCAATATAAGTATTATCACAAATCTAACCCTACCAGAATTCAACAATACCCTAGACGGGAAAAAGTAATCACGGAACCATCCGCCAGTCCCCCACGAATCAGCGAATCGCAAAGCAGCCATCTGAAATCTGGAATTGTCAAATCGCCGGTCCAAGGAATCGGCGAATTGCTGCTCGGGAGCCATCTTACTCCTTGACGGAACCTTGATCGTCGCTCCGATCTTCTCGTCGGTACGATTCTATTATGCAGATGCATCTTCATCGTCGATAATTTTGCTCTGACGACTTACTGTTAGCCGTTTGATTTTTTGTATATAAATTTCATTTATCTTAAAAGCTGTGATCTGTTATTGGTTGTTGCTTGTGAATCGGTTTCATGAATTTGTGTTTCTGGAGAATTAAATTAAATCGTTTATCAAAATAAACTAAAAAAGTAATACTGCCATGTTTATGTTTGGGTTTAAATTGCTGGATGATTCCAAATAAAATCCACTTTTTTGTTTGATTTTCATCTCATCCAACACCATATGGACATTGGCTTCATTGTGATATAAATTTGATGTAGGCCAACTGTCTATGTTACTGCCATAGAGCCATAATTTAGAAGCGAAAGCAGTGTTTGCTCGCCAACTATCAACCATAAAAACCAAAACAAAACTATAAAAAGAAGTAAAAAAAACATACCTATTTATATATAGACACCAAAGCAGATTTAAATATAGAGGTAACACCATTTTTCTTAAAGTTCTTAACTTAACGGTGTCATTTTTGTTGATAGTTCGTTAACACCATCTAGTTGAATTTTTGTAAGGGCAGGTTATTAAGAAGAATCATGAAATTCTATTGGGTACTGGGTACTGTTATTTTAATTGTTATTTTGCTGTTTATACTTTTGTTATTGATTAGGGATCATCAAATGGCATAAACAGTCATGTGCTATGGCTTGTGCAGTGAGTCAGTTTACATTATGAGGGATTTTAAAGGGAAATAAGATGCTGAATCCTTTTTTTATGTGGCTTACTTTTTGAGTTTATTCTTCGTTTCCCGATTATTAACAAAAAACTGCTTTGATTGCTGATTTTCTGTCATTGTTTTTTATGTGTTTGATATTTTTTGTAGACAAATGGCAGACCAAACTCAACAAAGCGTCAGTGCTTCTTCATAATCAACTGCAAACACTAACGTTATTACTTCCGAAGAAGTTATTTCATATCAAGATGCAGAACTCAATGCTAAAAAAAGAAAGTTGACTTCTCGGGTTTGGGATTACTATGATAGGGAGTGTCTTGGAGGTGGTAAAGTTATTGCAACTTGCTTGGGATGTAAACGAAAATTCGACGGATGAAGTAAGGCTGGTACTACTCACTTGAAAAATCATAATGATGTTTGCTCTTTTTCTAAGAAATCGGTTGATATTAGACAAGCTTATATTGGAAAATCTATAGATAACGTCAATCCATATAATAAGATTAAAACACACAAGTTTGACCCATCGGTTGAAAGAGCTTTGTTTGCTAAAATGATAGCTAAACATGATTTTCCTTTTCTTATGTCTCAGTATGAATACTTTAGACATTGGATTTCATATTGCATGCCATCTTAAAAATTTTGCTCAAGGGACACAGTGAAAAATGATTTGATGGAAGTTTACACTGAAGAAAAGGGATTTTTGGTAAATGTTTTTGGAAAGTTAAATTCACGAATGACTCTTACAACTGATGGCTGGACTTTAGATCATCAAAACCGTGGATACTTTTGTGTGACTTGCCATTACATTGATTGTAATTGGATATTGCAAAGTAAATTACAACTTTATCATGTTGTTGAATATCCACATAATGGGTTGCGTTTGTGTGATTGGTTGAAAAATCGTATTCTTGAGTGGAATATTGATGAAAAGTTATTTTCTGTTGTCGTGGATAATGCCTCACAAAATTTTGTCATGTTGGATGATATTAGGGATTGGTTGTATAGGAAGAGTGCACTTCACTACAAAAAACTGCTGAAATGGCGACGGAATAATTCCGTCGCCAAAGCCTTATTTCCGTAGGTGATCTTCGTTACGACGGAATCCATTCCGTCGCTATTTTTTCGTTAGTAGTGAGTGTGACGACGGATTTTTATTATCCGTCGCTAGGCTACGACGGATGTGGCGACGGAAATTTGCGACGGAACGCACGACGGATACTTTCCGTCGCTATAGCTAACGACGGAATTAGCGATGAATTATGCATTTTGACCATATAGCGACGGAACGGAAATTCCGTCGCTAATTTGATAGCTTACCACCAGCAGCCTGCTGTTTTTCCAATTTCGCACCCCTCCATAGCAAATCTCAGAAATCCCAGCATCAAACAACAACAATTACTGAAAATAAGGATTACTAAACAACCAAGAATATTCAAATCACCAATAAACAAGTAAAATTCAAATAATATTTATAAAAATTCAACATAACTATCAAATTTAACTCACTTACATATTCATAAAACTTAAGTTTAATATATTGTTCTTCAATTCTAATTAAAAACTCAACAAGCCCCTGTAAATCCCACCCCTCCTCCATCTCCACCGCCATCTCCATTTCCTCGTGGGAAAACTCCTCCATAAAGTCGGGTCATCTCTTCTCTAATCGATAATAATTCACGCGCTTGGGAAGCTCGAATGTCATCTAGCTCTTCTCTCAACCTCCGAATCTCATCATCTCGAGGGTCCCACATAGAACTGGTGCTAGCCCGTCTGGCCTGACTTGCATGCATTCGTGGTAGGCTCCGTGCGAGATCTCCAACACCATGAACACGATTCTTGGCATCATGTCCTCCAACTGTAGATAGAAAAATCTCGTCAGGTGTCACATTTAAGCCTTCTTCACGAACTCCTCTTGCATGGCTACGTAGTTTTGCTGCATTACACAACACATAAATGTATATATACTTTGTAACATAAAAAGCAAAATAAAATGAGCAGTATGCACATTCAATTAAATCCAACGAAAACTAATCATTCACAAATACATTATATATATTCATTCACTTACTGATACTTCTTCTGCCTTCTTATTGACGTAGGTCTTCCCATCATGTTTCTTCGTATGTGTGTGTGTGTACGAAGAGTACAAGTCAGAAGCCTTTCCACTTTTACCCTAAAAGATAAAATATATAAATAAGTGAAAACACGTCACTTTGAAATTATAAAAGTAATTTTTGTTGCTAACAATACTTACAAGGCGTGCTTGAGACTCGCGAAAAGACAATGGACCACCGGTGTGCGTGGCGCTAGCAGGGGCATTCTCGTCACCGCCACGCCGATTTTTCTTGTTTTGCTTGGAGGATGCCAAGAACTTTGGTGACTTCCAATACTGTTTGACAACATATAAATACAAGAATACAAATATATATACACACAATTTGCAG